TGTAGGATCGGAAGTTAGACATTTTAATGTTTTTGGTGGATTTTCCTTTTGTTTTGTGTTGCAGATTTGGTGAATAAAATTTCTGAACTTATTATTGTTGTGCATGGATGACTAATCTGCCCTAAATTTCTCTGGTTTTAATTGCATTGTTGTGGATGAAAAAAGCATATAGTTGGCTAAGTGTGGGCTACTGGCTTTTGTCACCAATATTATATAAGTAAAAGTATTATAATTTTTTTCTTTTTTGTTATATATTTATAAATAATTGTGTCATTATTATAATATTTAAAATTAATAAATATTTATTACGTCAACCGGTTCGACCCTGGTCGAACCATCAAACCTCTATCATTCTCCCGGATCATTGACCGGTCCGATTTTCAAAGCCTTGCTTTCTATATTAATTTAAAAAAAAAAAATCTATTTTATTCATAACAGCTTCCCTAAATCTAAAATGTATAAGTGAAAATAGATCCTATGAGCACCATATGGTTAATAAAAACCTGACCATAGTAAAATGCTTGTTCACATTTTGATTATTCTGACCGTTAAATCTTTCAACTATGCCAATATTTTTGTCAACCCTCAAACAAACGGCAAATTATTGCATTCGGACACCGGATGCGGAGATAGGTCTGGATATTAATAAAATATTATTTTAAATTAAGCGCATCAAAAGCGCAGGTAAAGTGCAGATAAAGCGCAGGTCAAAGCGTAGTCAAAACGCAGTCAAAGCGCAACTAAAGTGCAGTCAAAAGCGCAGAACCTATTTTCCGCGTCCCGTGACCAGATGCAATAATTTGCCCAAACAAACTATAATAAAATGCATATTAATCAACGCCAATCTCAGTGGTTTGAAGTAAATTAGATGATCCAATTTAGTTCACCATTAACGCTAATCTAGAGGCTTCCAACATGGAAACAAATTTCGTATATTTTTATCATTAAAAATTATGATTTGTCTCAATCTCCTAAGTATTATACTCTTCTTGGACGTGTCATACCAAATTGACAAAATATATAAAAAATATATATTAACTTTTGAATATGTTTAGCATCACCCAAACAATGGAAAGCAGATCCTTTAATTTTGAAAATAAATTTGATAGATTCTTATCATAAATTTAAATGGTAGGTTTAAATTTATGGTTGAATCCTATTGTTAGAAATTTTAAGAAAACCATAAATTTTTTATATAGGGCAATCAAGAAGAATATTTTTAATAATGAGAATATATTGTCTTAATAAATATTATAGATTTCTGTCATAAATTTAAATGGTAGGTTCAAATTCAAATTTAAAATGTACCATAATTGATTTAATTTATGTTGCTTTATTTCCATT